TTAATACTTGCGCCGGGTATTTAATGTTCGGCTCCGCCCGAACTTAGGCTTTCTTACTTGTTTTTTTTTTGTGAAAGTGAAATCGAATGTTTAGCGCAAATAATGCTTTTTGAATTTTTTTTCTAGGTATAAGAGAAGTTGGTAAAAAAATTCAATTGATTAAAAAAATAAAATTTTACAAACTGACCACTTTATTTTGTTGCCCAACATGTTCTCTAATTGCTGTCAAAAAATCAAAAGATTAGAATAAATGCATGCTGAAAAATTCCAAAAAGTTTAAAAGCGTGCATAAAAATTTGTTTGCAAATAACTCGTAAAAAAAATAAAATTAGCTCAACACGTCAATATTGCACACTATGTTAGCTTTCATGTTTTGGTAAATGATATATAAGCAATCGAAAATTCAACTTTGGGTGGCCGACATGAGAATGCTTTACTCAGAGACAAATTCAAATTTTCTGTAAAATTACATGGAAGTAATTTTGGAAGAAATTTTTAGAAAATTCATATCTTTCACGATTATCTATTGATTTTTATAAATGACTAGCCAATGCCCGCTTACTTCGCAGCGCCTAATAAGAACTTTTGCGTTGGCCAATGCAAAAGAGCGTTTAAAAGCAAAAATAGTCTGTCAATCAAAATTTTTGGTTTAAGTTGAAACCACTAACAGGCTAACCTAATATTCGCGGCTTGCGTTTTGGTACGCATGCCGTCGAATTTGTTTTTTTGCGTCACCCGAAATTGACTTGCATGCGTTTGCATTTGATTTCATTGAGCGAAACGTCAAATCAAAATGTCACGCAGAACAAAAATTGGAAATTGAGTTAGCTTCATACGCACGCCGTTCAATTTCGGTTGATCTCATACAAGTTGCATGTGCATGAGAAATTTTTGACAATAAATTGGCGGCGTGCGTGAATATTAGGTTAGCCTGTAAGGCGCAGTATCCTCCTCACACATAGGCCAATAATAGTAACGCTGTGATACCATAAGGAATACCAATCCCTTTCGGTGCCATGAGCTTTACCGATGGTCTTATTTCCACCTGTGAGATATCTGCCAAGCATGCGTAATCTTTTTCTATGATCTTGCAACTACAACATTTCTGCGATGCGTATGCCAATAAAAGTTCTTATAAGGAAACTCAAGAGCATAGAATTGCGTTTTCTGTTATAGGAGGGCCAAGAATCCTCGCTGTCCCAGAGGATGAAATGTTTTCCGGTACATTAGCTAAATGAGTCGTGTAATCTATTGAATATCTTTCAAATGAAGCAATTGATATACCTACGGTGATATTTCCTTGTTAATTCGCCACTTTTACAATTCGTGGTAATATTTATGAACTGATTTCTGGGTAGATGCAAGACCGCATGATCGTGCATGAAGTCGTCAGACAAACTTAACCCCATCCTTCATTTAGACATCTGAAAACTAAATTCGTATAACTTAAAAATGGGGCCAAAGCAGACCAACCACACGGGGTTTCTATACATTTCGGCTGTAGCGCCATCCACTGGGTCCATTTTCTGCAAAACCATTGCTTACCATAAAATGAATACGTGTTATGAATTTCAACCTCGACTCCAGCGGCACTCATCGGGTCAATTTTTATCAAAAGAATTTTCCATCATACAGGTACATAACTCACATTTAAAATTTGATCGAAATCGGTTAATAAATACGATTTTTATAAATAACACGACTCCAGCACCCCCTACCGAGTTTTCTAAGACCATATATGTATGTAAGATAACCTCCGACAATCTGACGGAACTCTATTCAGTGGTTTTTGAGTTTAGTCCGAACAACGAAAACGGCTATCATTTTATGCACATAGGACAGTCTATAGCGAAACACGTAAAATCAAAGCTCCATTCTCTGTGAAAAATTTTAAAAATTCTGCAAAATTTTCACATACATTTTACCTTTTACTAAAAATTAAAAACAAAGTTACAATATTTCAATGGGATTTAGGAATCTAGGAGAAAATAGTTCCCAATCGAATGATACTTGCGCGTTTACGTAAATGTATATCGATCCACTTTTCGCCATAAGTACGGTATTGATAACATATGTAGCTGTGTCGAATTTCAAGACGTTAGCGTAAGCGGTTCCAAAGATAAGCTATATGAGAATTTCAGTTTGTATGGAAGGTGCCACCTCCCCTTTTCCAATGCATTTGCAATATATGCACCAGTGCTAAGTTTCAGTTCCTCAGCGTAATTGGTTTTAGAGATATGTTGGGTTTTTACGTGATAGTCTGTATGAGCTTTTCAGGAATATGCCGAGCTACATACCGAGTAAATTTTTGGTCGGAATATTTATTTTCAAGGTGCTGGCATATATTCCAAATATGAAACAAATTGGTGCAGCCGTTTAGTAGTTTAGTGAAATAATTGTACAGAGAACTGTATGAAATCGTAAAGCGCGACGTCTCAGATTTCTAAATTTTTTGGCAGCAACAACGAAAAGTTTTGATTTTTTTAGCGAATAACCTTCCACACAGAAGTTCCAAAGAGTGCGATTTGGTTATGCTTGAACACACTTAATTGAATGTCAATAAAAATTAAGTTTGTGGTTATATCAAGGCGAAATTTTGAGAACAGTCTGTTGCTAACTCTAAATATAAACAACGACGCACTGGAAAAAGTTAGTACATTCAAATACCTAGGAATAATGGTCGAAGATAAACTAAAACAAAAAATAAAATGGATTCTATATTTTCAATTAGAGCTCTAGCAATATTTACATCGGTGAAAACTGCATTTCATTCCAAACATTAGTTTTTGCGTGTTGCCCTTACAAACATACAGACAGACAGACCAAAATTATAAAAATTTTAGATTTGGCTTCTGTTGATCTAATAAACCCCCTATTAATTCTTCTTTAGCATCTATTATGTACAGATATCGGCCTGTTGCAATTTTATTATTCTCAAATACTTTCGTTTGATACCCATATGGCAACATTTAGGTTATCTTATAAATTTAACTGAATTAAAGTTTTCAAATAAGTGGCAACCCGCTTCAAAAATACTTTCAAAGGTAAGCTTCCTAATCCTCTTTAGTTTAATGCCCGTATTGTAATATTTCATTTATTGTACAAATTTAAATGAATACAATTTTTCAAGGAGTCGGCAAATCCCCTAAAAAAATTCGGCATTAAAATTTCATGGTCCTTTAGTTTATGTCAATATTGCAATATTTCATTTATGCTATCAAGTAAATTCAATTAAAGTTTTCAAATAGGTGGCAACTTCCACAAAAATATTTTCAGATGTAGCCTTTGTAAACCTCTTTCTTTTGAACTGAACTGAACTGAACTGAACAGAAATTTTAAACACAGGTGGCAACTCTCTAGGTTTTTTCTTCTATATTGTAAGCTAGATCTCTAGCGATACATCGGTGAAAACTGCATTCAATTCCATGTTTTCGAGTGATGCGCGTACAAATATACAGACAGACAGAGAGTCAAAAATTTTAAAAATTTTTTATTTGGCTTCTGTAGCTCTAATAAACATCCACCATATCAATTTTTCTTTAATATCTATAAGGTACAGACTCGGCCTGTTACAATATTATTATAAGTATAGATATAGACTTCATGTATTTTATCATTTTAATAGACAGACAGAGAGACAGACAAAAGTTCTAAAAATGGTTGATTTGGCTTCTGGTGCTCTAATACAGAACCCCCACATTAATTTTTCTTTAATATATATAGTGTACAGACATCGACCTGTTACAATTTTATTATATGTGTAGATACTTATTTTTACTTACATCCTTTTTGAAGTAATGACTAAAAGAGACTATTTTCTTTTGAAATTTTGGTATCAAATGTTGTAGAAGTTGAAAAAATAATAAAAATTGGTGTAAATTCAGATTTATTCCAAAAATTTTCTTCATATTTACAATGTGTTCACAAAACTTATTATATCCTTAACTAGTACAAATATTTTTCTTTCCAAAGCAATATCCAAAGCAATCGAAAAAATGTCTTCTATATTGTTTGAGAAGCTCTCCTACCATGAAGTAAAAAATAAATAAATGGGGTTGAAACCTACTTTTTTACTTAAAGTGGCATTTTTATTTTTTCTCTCTGACCGCAGGATTTATTTTGAAGAACTTTGTAATTTCAAAGATATGATTAATTCCAAACATTGTTGAAAAAATTCAATGCAATGTTGAATAAAAATATGGGTAACAAATGCAATAGGAAATTTAAAAAATTTAAAGTTTCTGGATTCACAAGGACGAATAGGTAATTTTTAAGCTGACAAAGTTAGAAGAACGAAATTCGAAGATGTTATCGAGTTTATATAAGCACTTAACATATAATTTTTACCAAAACAAATATTGCGAAATTTCAAGCATAAAATTTTAAAATGACATTTTCAATATTTACCAGATCTTCTGCACCAGAAACTTGAGTATGTTTAAATTCTACAGGATTTCCTCATTAATTTTATACCTGTACTTCTTCTCTAAGTACATTTCTCTTAATTTTTTTAAATCATTTTTGAATTACTAACGTCAGAGTGAAAAACTAAAAAAGCAATTTTACTATATTTGGCCCAGGGTTTCGCGAATATATTGATATTTGTGTTTAAAATATATTATCGCGCGGTGTTATATGTATAATGAACTAGACATTTATAAAAAAATATTAATTATTAAATAAAAAAAGAATATAGCCAATACTGGTCAAGAAAAAGAGTTTGTAATATTGCCATCAGTGCAAATTACAAATATCGAAAATACCAAGATTACTTGCCAAGAATCCCGGGATTTTCAAGACCTTAAAAAGTCCGGGCTCCCGGAATCCCGGGGTTAACATTCCTAGTTAAGACCCTAAAATGTTTTCAAGGTCGCGGCGATTTCACAAAACCAAGAGTTTTGTACTTTAAGTTTCGCGTACCTTCCGACTAGCCCCATGTAATTCAATAAGATTCGATCATCGAAAAATTACCATCTGTGCTATAAAGCTCAGAAATTTTGAATTTTTACTGTTTTTTTTTTGGAATTGAAGAAAAATAGTTATAATTTTGCTACTTCTACCAACTAAGTAAATACTCATCTAATTTTTTGCTTGTACTTCTCATTTCATGATCGTCTCTACCATCCGCAAAATGGACTTATCACAATTTTTAATTACACAAAATCTTCCGAATTCGCTCCACTAATTAATGCTAACAGTTTTTGGATTTATCTCGCAACCAACTATATGGCATCAACGATGACACAGCGATGCGCATTCAACGCATTCGCAATGTTCGATTGGACAACAATCCACTGATATGCGATGAATGTCACATGGGGAAATTAATAAGTGTCGTGCAACATGTGAGTATATATATTATACATGCATATATATATGTATGTACATTAGACCACGTCAAAAACAAAATCCTGCAATGCGACCGGAACCCGACTCAAAATTTAATACACATACAGTCGCACTCAGAAACGTTCTTTAAATTAGCTCTAACGGGCACTTAACTAATGATCGTTTAATCTGTTAATTAATGTTTCCTCTCAGAGTTAAAAATTATGAAATAAAAAATTTAAGTATGGCCCCAGTTGCGGCCCTTCATTTTTGTGGCATCACTCACTTTTTTCGTTCAGTTTGAAATAAAATATAAGTATTTATATCATTTTGCGCGCACTGGCTCCGCAGACGCAATGGCTGAGTGAGCAGAGCACTAGCGTGCTATTCGAGAGATCCGAGTTCGAGTCCTAGGGAGGAAAAATTTCCTTTTTCATCTTTTATTTATTTATTTATTTTCTTGTTTAATTTTAATAAACTATCTTTATTGATTTTTTTTTGCTTTTTTGATCTAATTTAATTATATTGTTTGCTAAAAGACAAACAAGACCAATAACAGGTCAATTCTGACATCTGTCTTTCAACTCACCTCAGACTTTCGAGAGACAAGTCTTTACATATATTCCAGCAACTATCTTGAAAGCTCTTTTCTATATTTAGGGCCGTTTTCTAATGTAAGCAGTAAAGTTGCCTTTACTAACAGGTCAGATAAATTGTTCCTCACTTTAAAGTGTTTTCGATTTCTTACCTTGCAGGTAAAAATAAATTTGTTATTCCGTAGAGTGAAACTTCACTACATTTCCGAGAGTGAAACTTCACTACATTCGTCATAAAATTTCAAAGGTTGGCAATGCAACATAAGCAAATATAGAGCAAGAGCAACTGTTAGCAAAAACCAAAACCTTGGTTGAAATATCTAATATATCTGACTCATGAACCAAAACCAAACCAAAATTTAAAGTTGGGTACAAATTTTAAAGGTTGCATCTGGTGAGCAACAGTTTATCGATTCGAGAAATTAATGCGCTGATGAGAAAACGAAAACTCGTATAGATGAGAAAACGGCCCTTAGAATGACTAATTGAAAGATGTACTAGTGGCGTTATTATATTTACCGTTTAGCAATAAGTTTTCTAAAAACTAAACGAAATGAAAAAAAATATATATTTTTTTTTAAACAGGAACCACTAAAAATTTGAGGAACTGAAAGTAAAAGAATAAAGATGAATCAAGAAAGTTGCTGAGCATCAAATAAGATAAAAATATTAATTTTGTAAGCATTAAAATTTAAAAAAATTTTATTAATAAAATTCGTTGCCGAGGATTGAAAACTCGGATCGCTTGAATGGCACGAAAGTGCTATGCTCACTGGGCCATTGCCACTGTTATAGCGACGTTGTCGAAATTGAAACAACAAAAACAAACAAAAAATTTCAAAATCATTCGTTAAAAAGTTAAGTAAAGGTTTTTGATTACTTTACTGTAATGTTCATTAAATGCCGTTAACGAATCATTAACTGACTCTGAGAGAGAAATTTTTCAAATCGTTACTGAGGACACCTTAAGTAATCATTAAACTACTCTGAGTGCGCCTGTCACTTATAAACTTATTTAACGATCATTAGTTAAGTGCCCGTTAGAGCTAATTTAATGAACGTTTCTCAGTGCAGCTGTTATCCCCCGATTTACATGGTAGAAAGGTTTCTGAGAAATCCGTGTAAAGCGAAAATGAAAATTTTGTCTGAATAACCGTGTAAAACCAAAAAGACATGCATACATACTAAAAGAGACTTTCCCTTTTTTAGATTTATTATTATTATTATTAATAATGATAGTTCTGCTTACAAAGCTAAAAAAACTAACATACGATTTCGATATAGCACTGGCTGCTTCGGCTTTCGGCTATATATAAGTTAGTTACTTAAACCTAAATTATGCTAAGAAATCACTTAAATTTAACATTATTTTTTACATAAAACTCTTACGTCTAATAATATTTATGCTTTTAAACAATTCTTACATTATGAAAATCTTATTATCTTATCTTATATCTTATATTATCTTATTATCTTATAGCACTATTTTATTTCTTAACATTTTGCTTAAATTTCATGATAAATGTTAACTACTTTAAGGAATTTTATAATTTTTTTAATACTATTGTTATCAATATTAGATAAATTAAGTGTAGGTCTAGTATCACCAAATAACTGTTGTCTGGCATGGTTTATTGCCGGACAAATATTAAGGAAATGTTCAATGGAAATATTTGCGTTACAATTACACAGTGGGCATAATGGTAAAATAGTTTTGTCAAGGAGATGTTTGTTAGTAATTTTAGTATGTCCCAAGCGCAGTCGAGTAAATTTTATTTGGTCAAGTCTATTTATATCTTATTGCGAAACATGACTTAGATAATCAGCAATAGTTTTCATATCTTTATTTATTACTTGGTACCAGTTATTACATTTTTGGAACATTGTGAGATGTTTTTCACAAAGGATTTTCTTTAAATATTTATTAATGTCAGTTTGGTTTAAATTTTGTGTAATAACCAGTGGCAACGTATAGCAGCTTTCGCTTCTTGATCGGCAAATTCATTGCCTTCTAAGTCAGAATGTCCAGTAGTGCGATTCACTACTCTATTTTAACAACACTTGTTATCGTTA